GTGGTTGCTTACATAGCACATTGTGGGCTGTCTCCATGTGTGGAGTTGCCTGTATTTGGTTGTCTGGAATTCATCATAGAAGGAATCTGGGATCTGGGCAGCCAGACATCATGTGGGATCCCCTGACTTAGGCTCTGTGTGTGTGTGTGTGTGTGTGTGTGTGTGTGTGTGTGTGTGTGTGTGTGTGTGTGTGTGTGTGTGTGTGTGTGTGTGTGTTGCAAAGTATATAGAGCCAGCATACTTGGAGAATGGGCCTGGGTGAGATGATTTAGAGGGCCAGTGATTTAGAGGGCCAGGCCCTTTCAAATGGGCTGTAAGCTGGGTATATACACAATGGGCCTCCCTCTCCTCTGCACCCAGCCTGTACTAGATTCAGCAAGACAGGATGGCGTTGTCTGGTTCTGGGCAGGTGATTGGAGCTCCAGCAGTGAGGAGTGCTGGTCTGATCCAGCCTAGCTGCTCGCACCCAGCCCTCCTCCTTGGGCATTGTGTGTGGCTCACAGTGGTGGCGCCATCTATAATGTCTTTGTCCTTTGCTTTATAAGACATTCAAGAGAGAAGATTCATTCAAATTAGCTGTAGTGTCAGGTTCTAAGGGTTCTAGTCCTGAAGTGACTTCTAGGAGAAGCTTTTGAGACCTAATGGTTTCATCTGGTCCCTGAGTTCATTTTCATACATCTGCTGGGATTGTTCTTGGGGCCACCATGTGCCCAGCCTGTGCTGTAGCAGGCATGTTTAGCTCTTAACACTGAGATTCTGGTCCCATGGAGGAGACATGCAGGAAAATCTCCTCTGCCATTGATCAAGCCTCAAGACAATAGAAAGTTCTCTTAAATGTCTCTGGGTCTCAGTTTCCTCACATGTGAAATGGAGATAGTCACCCCCAACTACTGCCAAGTTTTGGCAGGCTACAAAATTCAGGGCGTTCAGTCCATGCAATGCAGCTGACTCCTTGGGTACATGCCGTCTGGCCTGCTTATATTTGTGCCTCTGTTGAACCAGCATGGTGCCTGGTTTTAGAAGCAGGTTCAGAAGAAAGGCAGAATGAACAAACGGCAGGAGGAATCCCTTCTGCTAGTGGGGTTCTCAGTTTTGGGAACCACATGAGACCTGTGCCGGCCCACATGACCCATAGACAGCTCTTGCAGGCTGCTATAAAGCCACTGCAAGACCTGGCCCTGTGAGCCTCTGCATTGTGGATTTGAGCCTTTGATATACGGAGGATGTTTGCCAAGGGAGAAAAATGTTATTGAACATTTTTTTGGGTGGTTGTAAAGATTACTTCTTGATGAAAACACACACAAAGAAAGACTTACAAGCTGCCCTTAAAGTAGGCAAATGAATAATGTGTGTTTACAGGATTCCAGTCGTTGCTGGGGGCTGTCAGCTCTGTGGACTTTGGCTGGAGTGGAAGAGGAGAAGCCACAGTGACATGCTCAAGCTGAGGGCAGCCTGCGCTAAAGCCAGAGAGTCCATGGCGCCAGCCCTTCCCCGCTGACTCCTCTCAGCTCATCTGTGTCTGTCCTACAGGGGACCAGCCTTTTCTCTGAGCTCTGATCTGGCCCATGTCTACCTCTCAAACCAGAGGGAGTGCCCACTCCTTAAACATGGGGGGGGGTCCTTCCCATGGGAGACCCTGTCTTCAGCCAGCTCCTGAGCCCTGACTGGTACATGATTGTCCCTTTAGGGGCCCTCTTTGATCGGAATGCAGTTTCCTGGGCTCCCTGCATGTAAGAGTCCAGGGAGAAGAAAGCTGTCTCGGGCAGCTGCGCGCTCTTGAGTCTCGTGATGGTTCATCCTCCTCGTCTTCTGCAGGGGGCTTTAGGTGTGTCTGAGGGCTTCCAGAGAGGTCTTCCCATCCGACACTCCAGCTGTGCCTTGTCTTCACACATCTTGCAGAGCTACGGCATGTCACCAAACCCCATGACTCCCAGGGCCCTTCGAGAAGCTAAGCAGAGGGCATCAGGTGGAGCCTGGGTTCTGGGTGTACTCTCCTCAGCATCTCTCTGAGTAGACGCCACTTACTCAGCTGGAGGTGGGACCAGTTCCACCTTCCCAAGAGTCCCGAAAAGTTTAGAGTAAACGTCTCTCTCCTCAGCCTCAGGGTTGTGAATCTTGGAGCTGACTGGAAGCCTGTAGCTCTGCTTCCACCCCACTCCACCCCCAGTGCTGGAAGAATACCAGACTGTATCCAGCTTCACACACAAACTGGCTCTGGGGCATCAGAGGGAGGTTCAAGCCTGGCTGCGGACTGCTGGAGGCTCCAACAATCCTCCCATCCATAAACACTGGAGAGGTTGGAGGAAGATGGGACGTGAGTATGCATTTCCATGAGGCCACTTCTGCCCATCCCGGGTCCTCAAGGTCACTGCTAACGTGGCCCATGTGGGGCCTCCAGGGAGGGCAAAGACAGGTACAGACCTGCCACTGCATGTTAATCACCAGCCCCAAGCCACTTCCTCTCCAGAAGGCGTCCTTGGCCATGGTCCTCCTCAGTGCCAGTCACTTCAGAACCATCGCCTCAGACACCACAAGGGCTGTCGTAATGACAATGATAATGGCTCCAATAATGATCGTGGTGCTCATTTGCAGAGTGTTTAAGCTGGCCAGACACTGTGCTAAGCTCCTCACACCCATTATCCCAATTAATCCTCTCGCTAGTCACATCATTACTAGCCTGATCTCACCACTGAGGAAACTGAGGCTGGTGAATGACTTGATGGTGCAGATGGCTGGCCCCAGAGGGTAGCAGCATGGACTCTGGTGAGCAGCATGTATCTTACAGTTACATAGATCTGTCTCTATTACACTCCAGAGCTTGCCACACGCCTGCTAAATGACTTCACAGCCCTGGTCCTGAGTCTCAGGGAAGTAGGAGACAGAATCCAGGCACATGTACACAAATGCTCCCCACCCCCCAGTCACACAGAGTCTGAATAGACGAGGAAAGTGCCTGAGAAGCAGCCACCCTCCTTCTGGGGAGGGCCCAGATGCTCTTTTGGGCAAGCATCTGTTTTTGCCCTGGCGGGCAAGATGGGGAAGGAGGTGCTGAATTGCTGCTCCTCTATGTCCAGGCCTGAGCTTCATCTTGGATATTAAAGTATTTCTCATTGCTGTGGCAAAATGCCTGGCAAAAAGCAACTTAACAAGGGAAGCTTTTTCTTGGACTCACAGCTTGGGGTTGAAGTCTTACCATGGCCAGGACGGTGTGGTGGCAGGACATGAAGCAGTTGGTCTCAGTGTCCATGCCAAGAAGCAGAAGGAATTGAATGTTGGTGCTCAGCCTGCTTTTTCATTTTTTTTCCAATCTGAAACCCTAGCCTAGGGAGTGGTGCCACCCACATTTAGGTGTGTCTTCCCACTTCAGTGAACTTAATCTAGACTCTCCCTCACAGAACTGCCAGTTTTGTTTCCGTGATTTTAGACCTTCCTTGCTTCTGGCATCTAACTAGGGATTTGAGAGGAGCCAGTAGGTGTGAGCAGTGCCCTTGCTTTGGTATCTGAGCAGCTCCAGCAGGGACAAGTCTCACTTGGACTGCTGGCCTCCTGCAGAAAACTGTCCAGAAAAGAAGGCTATCCTGAGATTCTGCTGACTTTGATGGAGTGTCTGCTGCTGCTGCTGCAAATCTCTCTCTCTCTCTCTCTCTCTCTCTCTCTCTCTCTCTCTCTCTCTCTCTCTCTCTCTCTCTCTCTCCCCCTCCCTCTCTCTCTCTCTCTCTCATGTGTATGCTGAATACATGTGCGTGTGCACACATGGACATGCATGCCTATTGCTATGTGTGTGCCCTGGCTGTCCTCCTCTGTGACCCGCCTTATTCTTACTCCCCTGAGACAGGGCAAATCACTGAACCTGGAAACAAACTGGCAGGCAACCCCAGCAATCCTCCTGTCTCTGCCTCTTCCCACCTCTAAGCACTAGAGTTGCAGGTTCCCATGTGGCCAAACCCAACTTGTATGTGGATGCTGGGAATTCCACACAGGTCTTTGTGTGTGCGCAGCAAGTGTTCTTAACTACTGAACCGTCTCCCCAGCCCCTCTCAAGCATTTTAAATATTATTTCCTATTAGATTGGACATGTTGACGCATGCCTAGGATTCCAGCACACGAGAGATGAAGGCAGAAGGATCAGGTGTTCACAGTTACCCTTGGATATAGAGTGAGTTGGAGGACAGCCTGGGCTCCTGACATTGTCTTTGAAAAAGAAAATCAGAAGAGTATATACTTGAGAAAAAAATAAATGTTTTGGTGGCCTCTTCAAACCTTTAATGATTCAATAAATATCAAATGGGAGCCCTTTATGAAATATTAAAGTCAATTCTCCTGCCTTGGTGCCTCCTCTCATGGCAGTGACCAATATTCACAGGGAACTGACTGGGAGCTGCAGAGCCCTCCCCAGACCTGCGGATGCCACACCCTCCCTCCTCACCTCTCCTTCTCTATGTCTTTAAACCTGCCCTTCCTCTTAAAGGAGGGTGCCACTCCACAGGGCTGCCCAAGCCACCTGGTGCTTAGCAAAAATACACACATGGCTCACGCCTGTGCCGTGGGCATCTGTTTGCAGAGACAGGCATGCTCTCACGGCACTCTCCACTGCCTTTTAAACTGTCACCAAAGTATCCATTCCCACTCAGCAAGCAATTCCTGCCCTGGCTTGAAGCATTTGCTGAAACCATTTACTCAATCATCTTTTCTTGTTTTCAAACACCCATGAATAGGAGCCTCTGACCCATTCAGCCTCCGCCCCCTCCCTTTCTCACCCCCAGCTTCTATTTTCCACATGTTCTTATTTCCTCAGCTCCCATACTTCCTCCTCCTTCGGCTCCCACCCGGCCAGTACGCTCCACCCGTCAAGACTGCTTTTCACAGTCAAAGCAAAGGTTTCCATTCCTGGACACTGCATACGCAGAATAACATGCACCCCCTCCCAGAGCCTGCAGTGCGAGGGTCAGCTAGGTTTCCTTGCTGGCTGGGTACTTCCCACATGGGTGGTCTGGACTTACGATTTGGCATAGATTTGAGCAGGAAGTCCACTTGCTGTGGCCTGTACTTCGGAGGTTTTAATCGCAAGGGCAGAAACTGTCTACTGCTGCTGCCATTGCATGTGCACTTGGGACTAAGATTGTCAGGGCTTGTGTCGTTGTTAGAGTTGCTGTTGCTGT